AAGCTAAACACTAATTTTAAGAAAAGTTAAGTGAAGGTCAAAGAAAAGTAAAGGTAAAAAAAATTGCCGCAGTTGGATAGTTTTCATCAGTATATGCATCAACATATGAACTTTGATAAAAATATCTAGAAAGTAATTTCTTTGAGCTCGATGGAAAGATAGATGGAAGGGTGGAGGACGGACATGACAAAAACTAATACATGTATTCCTAATCATGGCGTAGCATAAAAAACTTGAATCTACATTATATGCGGATGTTTCCATATCAAGATTATACAAGCAAATTCAAAGAATTGTGGTCCTCTGCTTTCTGTGTTTAAGTGAATGGGATGCCATAATTTATGGCAGATTGTGTATCAAATATGCACCCCTATCATATGTCACTTTATGAAAATTAGGTCAAAGGGGGGAAATCATCGCATGCTGGAAATATTTTGTTGCAGGTAAAGTACATGTCAAATATGAAAGACCCATCTCTTTTCAATCAAAAGTTATATATATATAAATATATAATATAATATTTTTGAAAAGTAGGTTAAACTTCTAGGTCAAGATCACAGAGTCAAAAGTCATGATATATTTAGAAAAGTCTTTTCACATGTAATATACATGTATAATTTAAATGCCATATCTTTTCTCTTTCAAAATGATTAAAGCCATATATGGCGTAACTGATCAAAAAATATAATTTTAAAAAATACAGAATTAAGTCAAGAAATATAGTTAATACATTTAAATTAAAACTTTTCATACAATTTTGAACACGGAGAACACTTCGTTTCAACTAATTATACGATTTTATCTTCTGTGTAATGTGTTATTTAAATCTTTTGTATTTTCTTCCGAGTCGGAGAAAATTCCGAGAATCCAAATTAAATTGTGATATCTTTATAAAGCAATTGACTTAGATTTTGTTATTTACGGAAAATTTCTATCTTTATGTAAAGTAATGATACAAATAATAAGTTTTTATAATTTTAGTCTTAATAATTTTCATTGTACATACGCCATATATGGCTTTAATTTAAAATGTTATTTTTTGGAAAGTAGGTAAAATTTTAAGGTCAAGGTCTCACTTGGGTTAAAAAATCATAGTACATTTAGAAAGTTTTGTGGTAATGTACATGTGAAATATGAAAGCCCTATCTCATATTATTCAAAAGTTATGATCAAGGTTAAATTTATTGTGACAGATGCACATACTGTCAAGGATGGCCAGACTGACAGACAAATAAGATTTAATGTTCCCTCCCTTTCCCCAGAAAGTGAAAACGGGGGATGATAATGCCCTTGCTGTTCTTGAGAAGAAGATTTATGATGGAAAAAAATCCCCTGCATATTTCTTAACGCAAATCAATATTGTGTTTTTATGTCATTTAATTGTTTGTTTGTTGTTAAACATCCCTCTCAGGAATTTTTAACTCAAATGGAGACACCATCACTTGAAAAATAATGAGGACAAGTCAGATTTGAGGTCAACATTCATTTTAGGAGTTTTCAACCATTAAGACGTAAAGAGACAGGAACTCGATCCTTCCCCTCACCCCATCCCAGACCCCTGTTTATTCATGACATGTATGCAAACTACTGCTTGTTATACATTTAAAAAAAAATATGTTAATAGCCTATATACAAATACTTTAATGTGGTCCATCTCTTTGAATGATTTTCATTCCTAATTCTAGGAGGATAGGTTGATGAATGAAATGTCAAGCAATCTTATCATTGATGCACTTTTATTTCATTTAATGCAGTCATATTGTGAACATTTCCAGTTTAGAATCATTAGGAGAGTGGGGATGACCTCCAGGGAGTTCAAAACCTTTATACCATTAAATTTACATAACATAATAACACAAAAAACGCAAAATTATGTATGGTCAAATGGAAAAAGTTTCCTACTATTTAGGAGTCACATAATCATTTGCCATTACTGTTTTGTATCTTGAGATCCCCCCCCCCAATTTGCAAGACTTTGGATGCCCTCCACCCTAGAAAACAGACACCACCATAACTTCTCCTTTTATTTGCTTCTCAGGAAATTCTGGTCTGGAAATCCCCCCTCCCTCCCAGAAAAAAAATTCTGTATCTTGTAACTGAATGTAAAGTCGATAACGGGCGATAACTCTTTAGAATATTGCAGCATCGGATGACCTTTGATCCTTTAAACTTTAACCTAACCAGTTGCATTTCAGACTATTTTACCCAAATCTATACCAAAACGTGTACTTACCGACTGCCATAGCTCCAACTTCATGAAATATAATCCAATTAAAACACAAAATAATTCCTACTGACATACATGCAATGATGTGTACACAGCACTACGCCTAGTACTGCACGTGCAGTGCTATCTAAAAATGATAATGGTAAAACTAGTACTTAAGTTAAGCACGTGACGCAAGCCCAATGTGATGCAGGTCTTCAGATACATTTACAGTATAAGAACAAATTCAAAATTATTATTTACAAAAGATGTTTTATCTTAACTTTGCCATCTAGGCCTATTTCCAACAACAGGAAAATAGGGTGTGTTTGTGTGTGTGTGTGTGTGTGAGGGTGTGTGTGTGTGTGTGTGTGAGGGTGTGTGTGTGTGTGTGTGTGTGTGTTGATGGGAGAGGGGTGGGGGTTGACTAAATTGATTGGTATACATGGTATATGGCATCTTTCAAGGTGTTTCTGCCTAATCAAGTATAAAAAAGTTTGTACATTTTGAAAAAAATCATCAAAAACGCTTTACACTAATTTGAATAATATTTTTTTGTTGATCTATATGAGAAAATAGATTTAAAAAGTTCCAATTATGGGCCAAAAATTTAACCCCCCCCCCTTGTTTCAAACCTAATTTACATCATTAATTGAATTCTGTTGTTTAATTTCAGACTGGTAATGAATTACGAATATGAAATACATGTACCTATAAGATCGAGGCCCATGGGTCACATGTTCACTTGAGAATATTATGCTCAATTTGATGAATACATGGAGGCCCTATTATGTAAATTATTGAATTATATTGACTTTTTCCTTGGTAAAGCCCAATTTTAGAGGAGTGTGCATTTAGAGGCAAACACCTTAGTGCGGGTATTACTGTCTCATGACAGCATCTAGTTTTTTTTAAAGTTTCCTAACTTCATCTTCTTTGATGGTGTCACAATTGTCCTGTCGTGCATTTATTTAATTGTCCGAGGATTAACTAATACTACAAAACAAACCACAAACTTGTGAAATTTATTATAAATTCACACTAGTGAAATTTTCAAAAGGAAACTTACTGAATTATTTTCTTATAAACAATGTCATAGTAAAACATTGTTTGAAAACAGGTTATCCGAAAAAAAATTGCAAAATTTCACACATGTGCATGATCAATAAGTTTGAAAACTTTCACGACGTGTTTCTTATCTATCTATAGCAATACATATTTCTGTTTTATTGATCGTAGAGTACCAACGGTAAAACGTTATCTTTTCTTTGTACTAGTAATCAATATCAAATAAGTTGCATACTTTACTTATAATCACCCATGAAGTAGAAAACTTTTTAAACTCCAGATAAACTGTAGAAACCAAATAAAATATTTACAATTAAACAGTTATACAACAAGTAAGGGCCGTCCCATTACGTCCATGCTTCTTCCAAGTGCATTACTGATCCTGAAAATATACATGGTAATATACATATGTTATGTAACGTGGGAGGGCAGTTTATTCAAGAAGGCTCGACAGAAGAAAAAAATCCGGATTCAATGTTAATTTGATTTTCTTCACTGAACACTTTATTGTGGTGGAATATTAAGTCTTCTTAGATTTAATTTTTTTCACTTTTTACTGTACAGCATGTGAGTTTCAACTTACAAGTCAGAATTTCTGTTGTAAAATTGTAATTAACTAAAGGACAAAAAACATTTATTTTACGCTGTTCAGATTTGCAATGGAAGAATTATTCATAAGCTTTGCAATTGGTTGATGCAAAATAACATGAATGTCATCCTGATTTTTTATATACTACTTTATTACATTTTCAACATTAAAACACTGAGATCCATACATTGAATAAAGGTGATATTCTGTCAAAGAGTTTAATGATATCAAAATGATATCCTTTGACAGTGTGACCTAGGCCCATTTTACAGCAGAACTTAAAGGATGCTGGTATCTTTCCCTTTTACATTGACTTTCTTTTTTCAAAGAATTTAATAAGATATTTTTTGGTACGAATTTATAACAGCATCATTTTTTTGCAAAATTAAAAAAATTACGTATTTTATATATCGTGTCAAATATTGATGGATTTTTTTCATATTGATTTACTCAATTGTCTACAATTTTTCCTTTTTCCTATCATGACAAGGAGTACACGGTGGGTATGACCGGTAGGCAGTGGATGCTTACGACTCCATGGCACTGAAATCACCTCTGAAGTTTTAGAGGCCAGCGTTTGTTCTGCTCCTGATTTGCACTCGTTAAATGAACTAAGCTTGAAAATTGTTCGTTATCTCTATATCTCATGATTAAAACATAAATATTAACTCTCAATGTATGGGCATCAGATCATTATTATTCATACCAATAAGAGCGTCTGAAACATTCTTGTCTGTAATGTATGAAAAATGTGTGTATAACGCACAGTGATCTATCTATTAAAAAAACTAAACTATTCTGTGACCAGAGCATAACAGATATCCATATAAATTACAGGTGTGGGATGAGGTGCCTAAGAGGAGTAAGCTTCTCCTGTTGACCTGTCATACCCTGCCCAGAAACCTATGTATTGATCAAGTATATGGATTTTTCTGTAGTCAAGTTCAGCACAAAACAAATTTCTATCAAATGGATTGAAATAAGTCAGCCAAACCACTAGCAAATTAAAGTTTATGCAAGATAATCTTGTCGTTCTATATGTCTGTATACACAAAGACTGTTGGTGTGGCCTGATCCCATCCAAACAAGATGATTTTTCTCATCATATCCCAGACACAATGGTGTAAATATCCCATCTTATTTTGTTGATAGAATTGACAGCAGGAGACCGTCCTTGTTAATCATGTGTATTGTGTGATCCGTTCGACTACAGATCAGTATATTTAAGAATGTATCTACGCAGGTTCCATGTGGAACAAAGAACATCCATGGAAATACTTTTGATTGTCCTCTGTAAGTGAAACGATAATTTCCATTATGGTCTGTGACCACCACACCACGCCATCCATCGGAAACAATAATATCTCCATTATGGTTCTCTTTGATATAGATAGGTTCACTATATAATTTCTGGCCTGAGTTGTCGTACTGGATGATTTGTACTGGTTGTACATTACTGTTAAACCGAATGACTTTCACCACTGAGTTAATGATAGAGTTTTTTGTATCATATCTCATCATGACCAGCAAATCTCCTGTAGAGGCTGAGTGACAGATACACCATGGTTCCCATAGTTCTGTTCTCTTTATCAGTGTCGACTTTGTAGTATTGTCTACACTCATTTTGTTAATGTTCCAGTCCTGGTCTACATAAATTAGTTCTCCTGCATTGTTTACCGCATGTACACCATAATATTCATTTACATATGACAAATGATGAAGAAATTTACCTTTAGAATGTGTCAAAATTAAATTAAGTCCACCACTGACCCAAATTTTATCTTGTGTCACAAAAGAAATGTGAATACTATGAATTAAGTCAGTCACAGTAACATACTTCTTTTACATTCCTTTTTGCATCAGCTTTAACATTTTTTCAGCTCTAACTTTTCTTTTTCCTGTCTCTGTGATTTTGATTTCAACAAAAAAGTTCTTTATGTCTCTTTTATTGATTTCTCCCCATAAGCTGCATGTTATGTTATCTGGAAGTTCTTTTGGTTTGGGGACAGGGATTTTCTTTATGAACAACAGAAACCTGACAGACTTATTTGCCAGTTTTTCAAATCTATTCACATAATCCTTCATTTTTTTATGCTTTAAGGCAAAACTGATATAAGAATTTGTTTTTTCATTAGGTGCCTTACTATGCATATAGATAAGTTTTTTTTCAAGTTTTCTGCTTTCACCGTTAGCTTATGTTGGATGCTGGAAAATTGTGCTTTCAATGTTTTTACATCTTTTTTGACTAAAAACTTGAGACTTTCTGAAATTGCACGATTGTATGGTAGAATATCACCTCTCATTTGAATGATTCGTTCTCTGTGTTCCTGTCTTTGAACCGTGCAGGCTAATTTGATATCCAGAATTTCATGATCTTGATGTTTATCATTTTTATCACAGATGGGACATTTACAGAATTTGCACCAGTTTTTATATTTGCATTCTGGGTGCATATCACATAACTCTGGTGTTATAAAGTCTCTATGCTTTAAGCGGTATATAACGACATCATAGTCTTTGGTATCGAGATACACGACGTGTTTCTGCTTACAAGGCATACAGAAATTTTGTTCACATTGTCTGCAGTAGAACTCCACATCCCTCTGACACAGACAACATTGAAGTACTTTAAGTTGTGTTGTGATATCTTTATTCATTGTGCTACTTAAATATATTTTTTTATTTGAATTAAAAAGTCGTTTCAAGGGACAGTCTACAATTAAACAAAATATAATGTATTCTTAGACATTAATTTTCATGATAAGTAAAATGATTTAAGGATGACGTTTACTCGGGTTTCAGAAATCAGAGAGATAATTTTATAAAGTATAATATATTTAATCAAAAATTGTTTTAAATGGATAAAATAGCTAAGTTTATTTGAATATCAATTTAAACATTTAATATGTAAGTCTTTGAAGAAAATATACAGGAACAAAACTCAATGTATGGCTATGCAGAGGAAATTCGAACTAAATTTTGAATTTTTGAATTTTTTTTTGGGGGGGGGCAATATTAATCACAAAGTAAATGTTATATGTATTTTAAGACATCAATTTGAAAATTTTATATGTGCTTAAGCTCATAAATTATTTCAAAAAAATGAATGCTATGACATCAAAAAATTCAAAAACATGTACAAAAACCACTCCAGTCAACATATCTATATAATTTGATCATTGACCCCATATAATATTAATACCATGAAAATGAGGGTGACAAAAGTAATCCGAGGCTATATAAATAATTTAGAGTTCTTATCACTCAGATTTTTTGCAATACTTGATTAAAAATGGGGGAAAAAATTATGACAGAGGAGATTCGGACTGTAATAACTATCACGTTTACAACCCAAAATCTACTCATTTCTTTATATAGAGAAACTCTGTTCCCTTGCCATAATATTTCATTATTAATTTTTGTTGCTCTTAGTGTGAAAAATTGAGGAATTTCCCGAGAAATACTCAAGGGCCCCTAACTTGAAAACGAGGTCATTGATCTAGTTATTCGAAATCGAAATTTAACACAATAATCATAGGTGTACAATGTGCAATAGGTGGTATTTTGTTCTTATCAGTGGTATTTTCAGTCATCTGAGTAAAGGTATACCTAAAATTTTAAAATGTACGTCTAGTAAAATTGTTCACTAAAGCAAGAATTTTAACCCCCCTCAAAGTGAATAACAAGTTATTCAGAAAAAAGTCAGAATGCAAGTATGTTTACAATCAAATAATTTGCAAATTTTTGTTGCATTTTTCTTACCTTTCAATGTCAGAAAATATTTCCTTTTTTTTTAAATTGACTAAATAGGTTTGTTTTAAACTATGTCATAATAAGGAGTGTTTGAAAAATAGGAAAAAATAAGTGAGCATAATAATGCATGTATGATCAAGATAAAATAATTTGAAAACATTTTCCCTATTTTTCTTATCTTTATATGTCAGTTAATGTCTCTGGTTTTATTGATCGTGGAGTACAGCATGCAAAGCTTATCTCTTATTTTTACTAGTAAATCACTAACAAAGAAGTTGCATACTTTACCTATAATCAGCCATGCGAAATGAAACGGTCTAAAATTAAGATAAACAGCATAGAAACCAAATAATTAAACAGTTATTCAATAAAGAACTATCCCAATGATTTAACCTTTCTTTCAAATTCTTAACTGACCCTGACAATATACGTGCGTAATAAAATGTGGGAAGGCAGTTACTCAAGAACTTTCGACAGAAGGAAAAAAATGGATTAAATATTAACTTCTAGATTAAATTCACCACATTTATGTCCAACTGATCCTGAACACTTTTTGTAGTGGACAAATTAAGTTTCCTAAAACTATTAGAAAAAGGTTACTTAGCTTTAATTGTTCATATAAGTAATGGAAGAAGCAAAATTACATTATCCTTATCCTGATTTTTCATATAATACTCTATAACATTTTCAGTGAAGTATTGACATTTAGACATTGAATAAAACTATTTTGTTACAGTGTAAAAGGATATCAAGATGATATCCTTTCAGAGTGTGATCTGGGACCTATTTTACCTAAAACCAAAAAAAGTAACAAAATTATAGGATGCTGATTACTTTCTTTATTTTGATTTGAAAAGGATTTTAAATTTTTTAAAATAATTCAACAAGATGTTTTTTGTAGGAATTTCTAACAACATAATTAATTTTGCAAATTTTACAAACAACGTAAGTATCATATATATTGAGTCAAATGCTGATGGACGTTTTACATACTAATTTACACGCTGAATTGTCTACGAATTTTGTTCTGCCTTTTTTGCCGATTATGACAAGGAGCACACACAGGTGTATATATATTCACCTATGAACTTTGAAATGTCCCTGATTTGTGTTCCTTAAATAAAATTGAGCTTGAGTAATGTTCGTTATCTTTATACCCCGATATCTCACGAACAAAACTAAATATCCACGATCATTGTACGTGGATCAAATGATTATTATTTATATAAATAAAAGTGTCCGAAATCTCCTCGTCTGTTTGTCTGTACATGTTCGTAAAAGGTGAATAAAAGGAACAATGATCAACCATGCTAAAAAAACATCTCACAATACAATTCTGTGTATAGTGCATAACAGGGACACATATAAATCGATGGGATCAGGTGCCTGGGAGGAATAAGCGTACCCTGTTGACCGATTATAACCTGCCTTAAGCCCTACCTATTGATTAAGTATACAGAATATTCTGTAGTCAAATTCATCACAAAAAGTTTTGCCAGTTGATATGTAACAATTCAGCCAAAAACCAACACATTAAAAGTTTATGCAAGATAATCTTGTCGTTCTATATGTCTGTATACACACAGTCAGTTGGTGTTGCCTGATCCCATCCAAACAAGATGATTTTTCTCGTCATATCCCAGTCCCAATGACTCAACCATTCCATCTTGTTTTGTTGATATAATTGACAGGAGATAGCCGTCCTTGTCAATCATGTGTATTGTTTGGTCTATTCGACCACAGATCAGGATATTTAAGAATGTATCTACACAAATTCCACTTGGCATAAAGAATCCAGAGTTCAATCCTTTCGGCGGTCCTGTGTAAGTGAAACGATATTTCCCCTCACGGTCTGTGACTACCACACCCTGCCCTATATCAGACACAATAATATCCCCAATCCTGTTCTCCGTGATGTAGACAGGGTCACGATATAATGGTTCGCCTGTCTTGTGGTATTGGATGGTTTGGATTGGTTGTAGTGTACTATTGTACCGAATGACTTTCACATCTGATAAAGATATGTTAAGATTACCTGTATCATATCTCATCATGACCAGCAAATCTCCAGTTAAGGAAGAATGACAGATACACCATGGTTCCCACAATTCTGTTCTCTTCATCAATGTCGATTTTGTAGTATTGTCTGCACTAAGTTTGTTAATGTTCCACTCTTTGTCTACATAATTCAACTCTCCTGCACTGTTTACTGTATGTACACCATAGTATTCACTTACATCAAATAAATGATGTAGATTGTTACCTTTAGAATTGGTCAAAATAAGACTGCGTCCATCACTGATCCAAAGTCTATCTGACGTCACAAAAGAAATGTGTCCACCGTGATATAAATTAGTCACATCAACATGCTTAGTATTTAGGATAGCCCCTTTTAACAGTCTTAACATATGCTCATTTCTAACTTGTCTTTTTCTTGCCTCTGTGATTTTGATTTCAACTAATAGCTCTAGAGTGTCTCTTATTCTTATTACTTTATTAAAGTTACACTTTATGTTATCAGGAAGTTCTATTGTCTTGGGGACAGGGGTTTTCTTTATGAACAACAGAAACCTCACAGGCTTGTTTGCCAGTTGCTCGTATATATGCACATACTCTGTCATTTTTTGATGCTTCATTATAAAACTCATATAAATATTTGTTTCATATAAATCAGTAACTGCCTTTCTATGTATTTCGATAAGTTTTTTCAAGTTTTCAGCTTTAACCGCAAGCTCTTGTTGGATGCTGGAAAATTGTGCTTTCAATGTTTTAACATCTCTTTTGACGTCAGATTCGAGACCTGCTAGGATCGCACGGTTGTATGGGAGACTTTCACCTCTAATTTGAATAATTCTTTTCTTGTGTTGCCCTCGTAGAATTTTGTAGGCTAATTTAATGTCCACAATTCTATGCCCTTGATGTTTATCATTTTTATTACAGATTGGACATTCACAAGACACGCACCAGTTTTTATATTTGCACTCTGGGTGTTTATCACATGACTCTGGCATTACAAAGGCTCCATGCTTTAAACGGTAAATAGCGACATCATAGTTTTTGGTGTCGAGGTACACAGTGTGTTTCTGCTTACAAAGCATACACAGATTTTGTTTACATGGACTGCAGTAAAATTCCACATAATTCTCACACTGAATGCATTGAAGCACTTTGATCTGTGTCGTGGCATTCTTATTCATGATGCTACCTTTATTTTGCCTCCATTTTCTTCCAGATTCAAAATGTTCTTTCAGGGTAGTCTACAATTAAAATATCCTTTTGATACAATTCTTTTTTTTCACGGTTACATGTTAATAAAAAATATATAATAATTGAGGCATCCATTTCTTTGGTTTGAACATCTGTTCTCAAATTGAAAACTGGACTTCTAGTTAAATTGTTGTCTACTAAAACAAGATTGTTATTCTTTAAATCCCAATGTACATACAGCCTTTGTATTAATTTTTTTTTTAAAAATCTTATCCTTTTTGTAACGCATTTTGCAACGATTTAAAAGAAAGAAAGAAAATTTATTGTAAAACACAAAAAAGATTTTATAATTTGCACATTTCTTTAATTTTGAATTTACCAAAAACATACGTGTATTCCAGGTGTATTTTGTGAAAATTCTATTGTGTTCCGACATTTTGACCTTGATCTTGAGGTTTGATCTTATTTTTAAAAGCTGTTTTCTTTGTCATCACTTAGAAATGGTTAGTATTAGCTTTCTGTTTCACAGATTTGACAATATTCCCTTAAAATTACGTGGGCAGATTTGAAGATCTTATTTTCTTAAATGTTCTAAATAATCTAAAGAATATCACGACTCATATATGAGCATTTCATGCTGTTATACATGTATATTTAAAGTGTGTATATAAATTTCTTTTATCTGGAAATTATTAAAACTACAAAGAATGTATTCGGATAAAGTGATATTCAAAGATCAATATACTTGAGTTGTTTTCTATTGTATGTTTGTGTATTTTTTTAATGGCTAAATCAACAGTTTGTCCGTTAAAGCAACAATATTTTCATGCATTTTGATGTAGAGTTCTCTCACGGCAGGCATGCCCTTGAATTTAATTATGAAATTGATAGATTTTGATCGACCGAAAAAATTCAATACAATATTTTTAAGGGCACCCCTAGATCTAAATTCTTATTCTTTAGCAAACTTTCTTCTTATATACGAATCAATGATTTTGTGTTACTTGATACAGGTGTCATGTACAAAATCATGCCAAACAAAAATCGCTGCATCTGCCCTTCAAGAGTATTTCTGGGTTACAGTAAAGTTGTGTCACAGTGGGAGAGGTACTGCAGAGTAGATGCAGTTCATTTCTTGTAAAATTGTCTGCAATGGTGATATTAATGCTAATAAGTCACGAGGAAGTTAAGCTCATTTAAGGTTTTATGTCCCGTTGCCATTTTTCAGGCATCAAGAACACAGAGTTGACTAAAACTAGAGCGAAACATGAGAACAAGAAAACAACAACACGCATGTGGCCTTAAGTCAATAGCTTTTTTCTAAAGTCTCAAACCAATATTGAAAACTATGGGTCGACGCACATATTTAAAGATAAGTGTTTCTTTCGGGGCGTGTTGTTCGACACATATATTTGCACTTTCGTAAAGTGGACTTAATCAATAATTCTTAAGAAAACTTTACGTCTGGTTGTGTATTAATAAAATTTGTAAGTTAAGAAAGTTCATGGTAGAAATACGAGAAACCAAAACCAACTTACCATTATTTATCATTTTTCGTCCGTGCTCATCGATGCATGCACGCTAAACAAATTTAACACATCCGGTAAACAAGAGGCCCATGGGCCACATCGCTCACCTGAGTACTGTAGCAAAGAAAAATTAGAAATTGGTTGATAATTAAAAAGTTTAAATCCGAAAGTAATCCCATGACCAATCATTGATTTGCTATTCTTTAAAGAATTTTCCCATATATTTCTATGCAAAACCTTGTCGGTCATTGTGGTCCCGCCCTACCCCCCCCCCCTCCCCCCCGGGTCATGATTTGAACAATTTGAATCTACACTACCTGAAGATGCTTCCATATAAATATGATGAATTATGGCTTTGCTATTCTTGAGAAGAAGATTTCAAAAGAATTTTCCCATATATTGGCCCCACCGTACTCCCAGGGGTTATTATTTGAAAGAATTTGAATCTACACTACCTGAGGATGTTTCCATAAAAATATGTTGAAATGTGATTTTGCTATTCTTAAGTAGAAAATTTTAAAAGGATTTTCCTATATATTTCTATGTAAAACTTTGGTTGGGCATTTTGGCCCCGCCCTACCACCGTGGTTCATGAATTAATCAAACTTGAATCTACACTACTTGCGGATGCTTCCATATAAATATGATGAATAATGACTTTGATATTCTTAAGTAGAAGATTTTTAAAGAATTTTACTGTATATCTCTATGTAGAACCTTGGTCGGCAAATTTATGCCCCGCCGTCTCCCCGGGGGTCATGATTTGAACAATCTTGAATCTACACTACTTGAGGATGTTTCCATATAAATATGATGAATTATAACTTTGCCATTCTTAAGTAGAAGATTTTTAAAGAATTTATAGTCTATGTAAAATTTTGGTCGGCCATTTTGGCCCCGCCCTACCCCCGTAGGTCATGATTTGAACAAATTTGAATCTACACTACCTGAGGATGCTTCCGTATCAATATGATGAACTATGGAATTGTCTTTCTTGAGAGGAAGATTTCTAATGAATTTCCCCTTATATTTCTATGTAAAACTTTGGTCGGCCATTTTGGCCCCGCCCTACCCCCGGGGTCTTTATTTGAACAAACTTGATTCTACAATATCTGAGGATGCTTTAATATAAATATGATGAATTATGACTTTGGTATTCTTGAGAAGAAGATTTTTAAAGAATTTTTCCATATATTTCTATGAAAAACTTAGGTCGGCCATTTTGGCCCCGCCCTACCCCTGGGGGTCATGATGTGAACAGACTTGAATCTACACTACCTGATGATGTTTCCCCTTGCACAGTGGTTCTTCAGAAGAAGATTTTTAAAACATGCCACCAAATTTTCATTAATACTAAATTATCTCCACTTGAATGAGGGCGTGGTCCTTCATTCGAACAAACTTGAATTCCCTTCACCCAAAGATGCTTTGTGGCAAGTTTGTTTGAAATTGGCCCAGTGGTTCTGGAGAAGATTTCGAAAACGTGAAAAGTTTACAGACAGACAGACGGACAAACGGACAGCTAGACGGACACCGGACAAAATGTGATCAGAAAAGCTCACTTGAGCCTTCGGCTCAGGTGAGCTGAAAAATAACACCAGGATTAATAGAGTCCAAACCCTGTTTACAAGCACACGTTTTGACGTGATGTTATGAAGAGTGTCGTTGTCATTGAACTTTTTAAATAGTCATGTAAGTTTAAATCATTGAACTGAAGATATTTTTGAATTAATTGACATCTAAAATTCCCAACAATGCATCTATGCCCAAGCCCTTTTAAAGTTAAAGGCATACGCCATATTAAATATTCCGTATCTATTATATCAACAATAAAGTATTTAAACCAATGACATACGTTCAACTTGATTGTTTTTTACCTTGTCGCTGCTGCAAGTAGTGCATGTATGTCTAACAGTATCTTTTTTGTTTATGTCTTATTTTATGAATGTGCTTCTGTGTTTATTTCAATTTCTTCACATTGGACTGTGCACTTAATGTCAAATACATTATTTGGTAAATATTTTTGCAGAATCCAAAAATCAGAAATAATTTAGACGCGACCAAGACGAAATTAAATTTGAGAAATACTCTGAAATTCTATCCCCCAAAAATGCCATTCATTATTTTTTCCTTGAAATTTGGTACTTGAAATCATTATTGCCGATTGAAAGTTGATGCTGGCTAAAAGAACCAAGAGAAACTAGATTAAGTAAAAAATAAAATCATTACATATATATACAACTCGAAATTTGATAAGGATCACTAGGTTATATATGTGTAATTTACCACTAACATAACAACAGACAAAAATTTAAGTCAAAAATGTGTTTACTCTGGTTATGAATGGGTTTCTATGAACAACATGCACTTTAACCAATAAGGAATGCTTGAAATCTCATAACAACACCAAAAGGCATTTCATTACAAAAAAGTTAACTGAAAACCAGAGAAAAAATTACACAGGTTTTAAAGAAAATCCATCATCACAAATAGTCGATGTAATGTCAATACCGAGTATGGCCTCCCCTTGCATCAATGACGGCTTGACAACGTCGAGCCATGCTGTCAATAAGCACCCGGATGTTTCCAATGGGAAGGTTCTTCCACTCTTCAACTAGAGCGTTTCCCAGCTCTGCCAAAGTCGTGGGTTGTGCTCTACGGCGTGAAAGGGCAACTTGCAGCATGTTCCATACATGCTCATTCGGGTTCAAGTCCGGCGAGCGCGCTGGCCAGTCCATACGGACAATTGTTTCCTGTTGAAAGTACTTCTCCACCACCCTGGCGCGATGTGGACGGGCGTTATCATCCATCAGGATGAACTCAGGGCCAACAGCACCGGCGTAGGGTCTAACGTAAACATCCAGGATCTCATCCCGGTACCGCACCCCCGTCATTGTTCCTCTCTCCAGTACATACAGATCTGTTCTTCCATCCCTGCTGATTCCACCCCAGACCATGATGGAACCACCGCCATAACGGTCATGTTCACTGATGTGGGTATCATAAAAACGTTCACGTCGTCGTCACCACACTCGTTGCCTCCTGTTTGTAAAGTCCAACCAATACCTGGACTCATCGGTGAACAGAACTTGAACCCAATCGTTCTGTGTCCAAGTGACATGGTCTTCAGCCCAGTCCAATCCCTCCCGCCGGTGTCGCACAGTCAGAGGGATTCGAACACATGCCCTTCTCGAATTGAGACCTGCAATGTGAAGCCGATTTCGTATCGTCTGAGTCGAGACGTTTACCCCCGAGGCGTTCAGGAGGTCGTTACGCAGGCTGGTTGCTGTCCAGAAGGGGTGGCGTCGTGCCTGAAGAGCAACAAAATGGTCTTGGCGTTGAGTTGTTGATCTATAACGACCACCCCCATGTCGGTGTGCTGCTGTACCAAAAGTTTGCCGGTTCCAGACTCTGTTTACAACGCTCTGGCTGACGTTTAGCGCATTTGCAACATCACGTTG